TTTTTTTTTTCCCCTCAGATGGCCAGGCAGGTTATAAATGATTCCCAACTGCATGGAGGAAGCAGGAAGTCTGATCGTTTTGCTTAGTCCCTGTTGTCAGTTTCAGTACCTGTCTCTGTCACATTGCTGAACATCATCCTTTAAATGCTCTTTGTTTAGGCTCTCCTGGCGAATATGGCTGTGATGTTTGCAATCTACCATGGGTCCCATGGGCTGGAACATATTGCTAGGAGGGTGCATAATGCCACTTTGATTTTATCCGAAGGTGAGTCAGTTGTCTATTTTAAAAATTTTGGTTGTAACAAGACTGATAATTGTGAATAAGTAAAATTAAAAACTCACTGCATGTCCAATGTCACATGCAAAATTAAAAGTCGGATAAAAACTGCGGAAGAATATTTTCAGCACCTATGATTGACTGAGTGTTAATATATTTAGTATACTGAGCTTTTGCTCAGTCCCCCCGACCCCATATACAAGAAGGATGAACACCCTGAGAAAAAGCTGAGCAAAGAACATTAAATGTAATTTTAAAAGAAAGCATACAAATGAACATATATAATTTAAACCCACTATTAATCAAATAAATGTAAATTGAAAGAATAAAATAGTGTTTCTCCCAATACATTGGCAAAGATTAAAAAAGAATACTGATATTGGTATGACTTTTATGAGGGCACTTAAACAATTTGTATCAAAAACTTAAAAAGTGCCTACAATTTGATCCAGAAATTCTAGGAATGTCTCTAAAGGAAATAATCAGATAAGGATGTAAAGGGTGTCCACCAAAACATTATTTGCAATATTACAATCTTGGAAATAGCCTAAATGTCCAGTAATAAGTAATTAGTTAAAATTATGGTACATAATTTAAGGTTGAATATTATATAGCCATTAAAAATAATGATAGGGAGTTTTGATCTATTGAAAAGCTAAGTGTTCATAATATGTTAAATATTTTTTTCAGGATAAAGAAGTGTATATATGTGATATATTACAAATAGAGACACATACATATACATTCTTCTGGGAGGAATCTGTGCAGAGGAATCTGGGAGGAATCTGGTACAGAGGAATCTGTACCAGAAAGTAACCATTAGTTATTAGTGGCTGGTAATTATGGTGATTTTTCCTCCATTTTTATATGTATTTCACAACTTTCTACAGCATAATAATAAATATTTAATTTTTTAAAGTTTGAAAGCAGCAACCAAAACAATGGGTAGGACCAGGAACAGACTGCAGTAGGATTTACCTCTTCACTTCTCTGTGAAGTCTCTGGGGCAGAGGGTCAGGTTTCTCTGTAGAGACCGGTGGCTCTCCTGTTTTGTCTAGGTCTCAAGCGAGCAGGGCACCAGCTGCAGCACGACTTGTTCTTTGACACTTTGAAGATTCATTGTGGCTGCTCAGTGAAGGAGGTCTTGGGCCGGGCTGCTCAGCGACAAATAAATATGCGGCTCTTTGAGGATAGCACAGTAAGTCAGACTTTCAGTTTCATTTTACAAATTCTATAAATTTTCATAACTTTTCTCATTAAAATATCTTTTTATTTAAAAAAGATCTCAGTATTGGACCTTTGAGCACAATCTATTTCTTTGTAAACAATTTTCATTTCCAGTTTGGAACTTTGTGAGTTTTTAAATGGTAATTCATTGTCAGCTTTCCTTAAGGTGTTGTGTTTTCATACATACATGGAACTCTTAGGCACATATTTTGCTCATACTACTCCTTTATTCACAATATGACTGTTCAAGGTAAAGGCTATGATAAGCAATAGGATGAGGCAAGTTAAAGGAAGAAAATGATGAGCTTATCTAGTACCAAAAGGGGTGCCCTGCAGCCCTCAGACTGTTAGAGTTCAGATGTGGCTGTAAAACTCTGAAACTTGTGGAGTTTGGGACTGGACTAGCCTGCTTTGCCCCAGAGCCCACCTGGACATAATGATATTCTGTTTTTTTAGAACAACGGAGAGTTTTGTCTAGCACTTTCTCCCCTTGGACTTCTCTTAAGAGTTTCAGCCCTGATTTTGTGTGTGTGTGTGTGTGTGTGTGTTCAATTCTTTTTTTAAAACTTACTTTTAAGTGGAGGATAACTGATTTACAGTGTCATGTTGGCTTCTGCTGTACAGCAACATGAATTAGCCATAAGTGTATATCTATCACCTCCCTCGTGAGCCTCCCTCCCACCTCACCCCGCCATCCCTCCCCTCCAGATCCTTACAGAGCACTGAGCTCCCTGTGCTATAAGCATCTTCCCAGTAGCTAGCTATTTTAAACATTGTAGCATATATATGTCAGAGCTCCTCTCTCAATTCATCCCACCCTCTCCTTCCCGCTCTGTGTCCACAAGTTCATTCTCTAGTCTGCATCTGTATTCCTACCCTGAAAAGAGGTTTATCACAACTATTTTTCTAAATTACATGTATATGCATTAATATAAGATACTTATTTTTCTCTTTCTGACTTACTTCATTCTGTAAGACAGTCTCTTAAAGTTCATCCACCTCACTACAAGTTCCTCAAATTCATTCCTTTTTATGTTAGCCCTGATCTTGGCATTTACAGCTGATGTTTTCCCTTTCATTTTCATTTCTATAGCTTGGTATTTCTCTTGATGAAACAGTCAATGAAAAAGATCTGGATGACTTGTTGTGGATCTTTGGCTGTGAGTCATCTGCAGTAAGTAAATTAAAATACACACTCCTCATAAGGACTATTTGGGGAGGTGTCAGAGATGGCCTTGCCTCTTGTGGGCCTGAGTTGTGAGGGAGAGGGGGCCCAGGAATGACCTTGGCCTGCTGTTAAAATTAAACTACTGATTTTCCCTTGCTCCTGTGACTGCTGATAGTTAGAGGTCACTGCTCTGGGCCCCAGCCAGGACTGATTAGCCAGGTTAGTTGGAAAGACGGTTAATTGTACTTAATTGAAGCTATTCCTAATACAAAGCTTCATAACATTTACATCTTGGTTATATTGATTACGGGAAAACTAACCTAATACACTGTGCCAGGTCATTAATATGTGTTATGTCCCCAAAGTGAAAGTGAAGTTGCTCAGTCGTGTCCGACTCTTTGCGACCCCATGGACTGCAGCTTACCAGGCTCCTCTGTCCATGGGGTTTGAGGCAGGAGTACTGGAGTGGGTTGCCATTTCCTTCTTCAGGGGCTCTTCCTGACCCAGGGATCGAACACAGGTCTGCCGCACTGTAGGCAGACGCTTTACCATCTGAGCCACCAGGGAAGTCGTTAAGTCCCCAGGATAGTGCTAAATCAGACATATTTCCTGCCCTATGGAGCTTCTAGTCTAGTGAGGATCTGAACAAGCACAAGAATGCGGTCTAGGTATTATGATGGGCACTGTCTGTGATGAGCACAGAGGAGGAGCTTCTCACCAAGACTCGGAAGAAATTCTCTTAAGTGGAGACCTGAAAGATGAGTAGGAGCTATCCAGACACAACTGCAGAGAAGGAGGATGGAGCTACAGGTGTTCCAGATGCCGGGAAAAGCAGCCACAAAGGCTAGGAGGAGAGAGATAGCATGAGAACTAGAAGCAGTGTGGTGT